ACCGTCCCATCTCTCCTTCCTTTTTACATGGATCGGACCCACAGCACAGATAAACAGGAATGGAATGATTATTGTTCCGTAACATGAATTGATGGATTATTCTTCTTAGGGGCACTGAATCCGACATTGACCTTCGGCTGTGGACAGCTAACAACCCGACTGAAGTTGCTAACTACCATCCTTGACTCTCAATTGTATATATAATCAAAAATCTCTCCTCTTTGTCTACGCCCGTTCCCGTCCTATGTGAAGCTCTTCCCCAAAGCTTCCAAATCCTTGCTAACAAGAAATGATCTATACGATCTCGCATTTCCGGTTGACACATCCCGCACGCAATGTGACCTGGGATATTAGCGGTCAACACAAATGGTTACTCAGCCGTCTCACACGGTCTCGATAGCAAGGATCTTGAGAGAAAGAAGGATGGCTTCGAAAACAGATATAGAATAGATCTATATATTACTTGGCTTGGCCGAGAATCCTTGTTTTCTAGTCAGGCATCACTACAGCACAGGAAGTGGGCGGGCTATCTCACTGAGGCTAGAATAGATTAGAGCACGGTCCTCAACACGCATCTAAGGCCACGCTCTAAGCCCATTTTCCCGCTTGTGATAGGTCTGGGTACGAGGAAGGAAAAGAAATGGGAATAAGACGCATTCTAATCGACCCAAGAACGCACTTATAAATAACATAGTATGGTATGAACCAGTGAGAAAGTACGGTTTGAAAGAGATTAGAGGAGAAAGAATGGAACGAGGATTGTCAGAAGGCCTTTGATAAGATCAAGACATACCTCCTCAACCCGCCTGTACTTGTCAAACCGGAACCCGGTCGCCCCAGTCAAAGATGGTAAGAAGGAGTAGCATCAATAACATTCATTGTATGTACGCCTCTCAGCGATCTACAGGCATCTGTAGCATGTTGTACCCGAGGGTTATTTGGGCTGTGTCCGTTACACCATGTACAATCATCTTAGTCGGACTCAAATTCCTCACCTTGCAACCCAAAGTTGAAGATATCCGCAAAGGCATTCTATTTATTGAGGATCTATTGTCGAAAATGCCCCCTTAGGTTAGGGGGGAGAGTCAATCCTCGCATCAACACTGGAACATAAAGTGGCCTGTTATGGAACGGCGATCAAAGAATGTCGTTGTTACAGGGACGCGTCTCCACTAGAGATTGACGAATGGACGATTGAACGATTGATAAGAAAAAGGAAGAGCAGCTTTACCCCTCATAACTAGACTTTGAAGTCGGCCCAATGGAAGAACCACCATAAAATAAAGAAGGACACAGCGCAAAATTACCATTAGTAGATATTCTTTCAGCTTGCTCATTCGGATCACCCCAAGAATTTTGGGTAAAATAGGGAAAGTTTTCTATCCTTGGTGGGTTCAATGACCCTAGCCGTCTATCCTAATAGTACACTAATGCCAGTTTGAGGCAAGCGAGGACTCAGCAGTAGGGGCTTTCGCAGTAGCAGTAGCCTTCTCTGTATCACTCCTTTACTTATCAAGCCTTGACTTTTTGCAATTTCCTCCAACAAGCTCTTTCAAGTCTTTGAGCTAAGCCTTCCCGCTCTACTGGAAACTCTCCAATATCAGGATCAGGTAAGGCGAAGCTCTCTTGTAAGGGTTGATAGGCGGGTAAGATTTTCCTATATAAGGGCTTTTCTTTCACTCCAGAGCTACTATTCCATGAGCTAAGCCAGACGAGGCTAAGATCTATCGCGAATTCAAAGTCGGGAACAGAACAAAGCGAGATATATTGAAATAAAGGAATTTTTGGACCAAGCAAGGGCAGATGCAGACAATTAACGATCTTACAGGTATATGCTATAGGAAGATATAGCTTATGAATGCCTTTTGACTAAATCGGCCATTGAGCCGGAGTCCTGCACTCAAGAAAGCAAGTCCGGAACTCCATAACTAGAGGAATCGGGACAGACTGATAGAGCATACCCGGAATGAAGAAAAGAAGGACCGGATGGGCTCAACCAAGAGAAGGGAAGGTGCCGTACTCCCTAATCGTAGAGCTAAGAAAGGAGCCTGCCTGTAGCTTGTGGCTTTGTTAGTTGGCTTAATAGCTTGCTTGGTCCGATTGTTTATGTTGCTGGTCCCGCTGCCCTTACCTACTCAAATCCCGAAACGAAAAGAGTAGTTCCCATTCCCTATTCGTTCTGGTCCTTGTTCCTGATCCCTGTGAAAGGTCCAGTCGATGGGAAAAAATCCATGTTCAAGTCTTATTACCGAGTGTGAGCTGCTTTCTGTAAAAGGTTCGATTACGGGAAGGAAATAGAGGTCACAAGGTAAGGGACCGCTTTCCTTTTATGCTTCCCTACGTGGAAAATGAATCAAACCTGTTTTCCCCCGACCAGCATAAAAAAATGGTTATTGTTTATGCTCGTATAGCATAAAAATGATTTATTGGGAGGGCCATGAGAAATCCACTTCGTACCTTCGCTTCGTCATCAAAGCCTCTTCGCTAGTCCAAACTCTCTTAATTAGTCAAGCAAGCAATTTGAATAGGGATTCTGAACAGGCCCTTACCTTAGCCTTACGCGTTCGATTGATTGTTCTAAAATCGAAGTCGTTTCGTTAAGTCAAATTGAAAGGTAGGTTTTGTCAGTGATTAAATGGAAAGGGAGAGCGGTTCGGGCCTACTCTTGAACTTTTAGGCTAATTAAAAGCCAAAACAAAAGCCAAATATCGGCACTGAGAAAGATGAGATTCGGTCAACAAACAAAGGAAATTAAAACACTCCCTTCTTTCTGTCGAAAATGATGAAAACCAGATCGAACTCTAAAGTCAAGCCTTTCACTTCATTGTTCAAGCTCTTGAACATGGGTTGAGTTCATACATTTTGAATGCTTTCCTATTCAAGACATACTACCAATTCCTTTGAAGCTACTATCACTACCGAAGCTGGCTTGCTCCTTCAAAATAAGGTGGCTAAGACGGGCTATTATGCCTATTCAACATATTCCGATTGTGATACAATTCCATTGCCTGCTCCTATTCTAGGTCTGAAACTCGGTCTGTTTGCTCCTACAAAAACTCATACGGTGTGTCTCCTGATACGAGTTATTTCCTAACCCTTTCTTCGTGCTTGTTTCAGGAAGCACTTCGACCACTCCAGTAAGGATATGGATTTTTTTGACAGACGACAAATAGTGATGATGTACCGACAAAAGAGGTCAAGCCGATAGGACCTACTCGAACAATCGCCCTACTTGATCAAGCTGATTAGCAAGTGGACCAACTCGTTCACGTTCATTTGATTTACTCTTAAGACTGTTCCCCTTTAGCTTCTTTAGTCAATTCTAATTGTTAACTCTTAGTTGACCGTTCCGCTGGGGCTTCCACTCAAAGAGGAAGCCCTGCGCTGCACTCCAGTGTTGAATTTCTTGATCCACGAAATGAGTTATTTAGGGGTTCTTGCCCGAGATGAGTTCTTGCCATTTCATTTTTACAGAGGAAACGAACAGACTTTAGTTGATAGAAAGTAAAACCCCTCCCCTATAGACAAAGACTTTGTTTCGAGAGTCACCCCAGACATTTGTCGGAGAAGCCTTCCTTACATAAGTAGATTCAGACGACATATCAATAAGAATGTGAGAAGTACGATGACATCCGCCCCAACTTCACCATAAGGTTCGACCGGCCCCCTAGGACTAGTAGAGTTGACCGGAAGTTCCCCCTATGACGAGCAGGCCAGAAGTCCGACCCTACATAGAAGGTTGAATAGAATCAGAATGAGCAGGTGCCCTTCAGAACTACCTTGGAAAGCGCAGTCGTGAACCAATGCCCAAAAGTGGAACTGCCAAAACCGAGAACTCAGTCACGCGTCTGGTAACCAGTTGAGATCGGGCTACGGCCTCTTTTCCTTAAAAAAGGAAATGGAACGGAATCATTTTCTTCCTTTTTCCGTCCGAGAGACTCAACTAAGGCAATCCCATGCTGTGCCACCCAAAGCGCTTTCGCCGGCTCAAGACAGTTCCATCGCGAAACTCTCTCCCCTCATTTCCCTTCATACGCATATGACTTATCCTCTCCCTTGCTCCGTAACGGCGCCCCCACCAGTGACGCGCGGCGGAGGAACGAGCTGAATTGAGCGCTTTCATCTTAAGTCAACTGCCTCGAGAAGGGATTCATCCTTCAGCTATAGGATTAGAGGAGTCCGCTTTCATCCCTTGCTTCCTCTCAAACGGCACGTTCCCTCCTCTTCATCAGGCCAGTCCTTCTCCGAAGTCTGGGATATTTGGGCGGATCTTGCTTGTCCATTTACTTCGTTTTTATCTTTCAGTAGCCCCCTTTTCTTTTCTGAACAAATCGAAGAACCTAATGGATCGAACTCATCCTTGGCCTGCTTCTCTAAGACCAGAGTCAATAGCTGCGGATTCTAATTCAATTGTGACAACAGCTCCCTAAGGGAGGCCTGCTAGAGTAGAGCCCTTCCCCTTTAAGTCAAGGTAAACTGATTCCATGCCATCTCTTTCTTACTTTAGAGCAAGGGAAGAAGTGCTCTCTATAGCCTTTATTTACTATGTGTTAACAAAGTGTGGGCAAAAGGGATATAAGCAGCAGTGGAATCCAGCGGCAGGATAGACACGAAAGCGGGATTCAATTACTTATGAAAGTGAAGGGATGAAATCAAGAAATTGAATAGGAGAGGGAGTTGTCGTCCAGCCCTAGTCTTTCGCCTTAGAAGTTCTTCTCCGCGCGATCCAGTGCCGTTGCAGCCAATGATCAAAGCAGTGAAAGACAGTGTGCCATTCCAGCGGAAGACTGAGGCAGCAACCATGCTGCCTCAGTCTTCGATCCGCCCATTAGCTGATTCGTTCGCCGGGGTTCGCCCGCCTAAGCAAAGTCGAAGTACGTGGGGTCCATTTGTAAAGAACATCTCTTTTGGGGTCGTCAAATCGCCGAGTCGACTTCTCACCGATTCGCATTAACGCGATCCAAAGAGTCGATCACAAAGCGGATTCGCTCGCCCATTCGCCTTTAGGTGTGATTCAAAGAGGCCGCGGTAACGCGAAGAAAAGTGTTGATTCGCGTGGCTTTTGACAGAACTTTTTTTAAAAGTTGATAACTTTATCGTTCTTACTTCCTGTGGATATTTTTTTCTTTGCAAAGCTTATAGTTTTTTTAGCACCTAAAAGAAAAGGTGAGATAGGGGACATTCCATGTACCATACTGCTTTGTCATAGGAAATGACAAGATTGGCGACCAAGGGTTGGTGAGAGAAAGACAAGAACTCATAAAAATAGGCTTTGTCCATTGGGCTAGTAAGAGTGTTATAAAAGTTTAGCATGAACAAGCAGAAGCCGCAACAATAAAATAGTATCAAAGAAAAGCGATTCCACTCTTTTCCTAAAATCCTAACCTACAAGATCATAAGTACCTGAATATGATAAGCAACCGTCAGAAATCAGTGAGTGAAATAAGACGGATGGAGAGAAATAATAATAATAAGTGGATGAAGCCTTAGTCCATTTTAACATCCAATCTTACCAAGTCTGCAGGTCAGAAAGGCAGATGGGCATGTTCATCCCTTTTTTCTGCTTCCATTGGCATGAGTTAGAGTCCTCTCCTGCAGGAACCTGGCACCTTCAGCTGATCTACGACCGCCCTTGCTTTCAGCTGCATTTTGCTTTTATTTTCTTCAATGGACCGCCTCTATCTCTACTCTAAAGGGGCTTACGCACTTCGATTCGCTGCTGTATGTGTATGCACCAAAATCCAATCATTGTGCATACATCTGTGGTGGCTCCTTTCATTTAGAGTTGTTTAAAACGAAAGGAAAGGCTCTTCCACTTCTATTTACTATATACGCTGTTCGACTGAACTCGTTGGCTCCGCGTTCATGAAATTCCAAGACCCCAACAATTCTTCGATCTAAATTTCGGGCGTATGCAATTCGTTCATCTCTAGTACTGAAGATAGAAGGGGAAGGGGAATCCATCTTTGTTTTTGGCTCGCAATAAAGCTAGGGTCCTGATCGAGCAACTAGTAGTCCTATCTATCCACCTCTCCAAACACAATATCTTGAGTACCAATGATGGTGACCACATCTGCTGGCATGTGATGTTTGGACATAGAATCGAGTCCTTGTGAATGGGCAAAGCCAGGTGCTCTTATTTTACGACGGTAGGGACGATTGCTTCCATTACTGACCAGAAAGACACCAAATTCTCCTTTAGGTGCTTCAACTGCGGTATAGGTAGAAGAAGCTGGTACGGAAAAACCTTCTGTATAAGGTTCGAAATGGTGAATTGAGGTAGAGTAGACCGATGATCCTGTAGTCATTTGGCCGGCTATTGAAAGAAAAAGCTTGCATCTGCTCCCTCTATTATATAACCGGTCCCATCTCTCTCCAAACCTAACGTGGTAGTTTCCCATCATAGGGCTTTCTATCTATAGATTGAGCTATTACCAAGGAGCTAATTCGTTCAGAACTCAGTTGACTCCTTCTATAGATAAGGCGGAGCGTCCTTGGTTCAGCATTATAGCACATAGGGCTTCGGCGCTACTACAGCGCTTCGCTAACTCGAAGCGCCTCGCCTATGAGAATCTAGCTTCGCTAACGCTCGGCTAAGTCTTGAACCTTCGCGTTGACCGTTCGCTTTCTCAGTAGCAAAAGCGCTTCTCTTTTCCCTTTAAGTAGAAGGACAATAAAGATATTATTGGTTTTCTTGCTCCTCATCTGCGCTCATCAAGCCAACTTTTCTTTTTGGGATGTGAAAGAGCGGTTGAAGCGGACATTTCGAAATGACAGCATCGAAGATATACTTATATATATATATACGGTTACGGTTATCTCGGACTGCGTTCCGGAAAAAGTAGCCTACTTGAAGTTGAAGGGCACTCTTGTCTTTCAACCCACTATACTATTCATAGTTGTGGGGCACTGTATACTTATAGCCTCTACGATAAGCAAGTGAATGGGGCCGGTGCGTGGCGAACGGAACGGTTCATCAAGCCATTTTTCGCCTCAACTCCCTAAATAGGGGTAATTGCTTTGCACCTGACTAGCCCTCTCGATACCTTTCCTTTATTGGAGCTTTGTAACTAGTGGCCGCTTTCTCGTCGCTAGAGCGTTTTCTCAGTGCGCGGAGCCCCAACGAGGAAGGTCTTAGTGGTTTATCATTGGGTCAATAATGCTAATCCCTCTTTTTGTGCTACTCCTACTCCTAGGGCGGGAAGAAGATAAGAAAAGGCGAAGCGTTCTCTGATCTACTCCCACTCTGAACCTCTTGGCTCACCTGGGATACGTACACCCTGTTGTTTCTAAAGACTGCCCTCTCTCGGATGGATGTTGGTCCAGCCTACTACGAGGATCCCGTATCCAGCAACCCAACCTATACAAAGGGCATCAAAGCCCCTTTACTAGGTTGGAGCTATGAAGCTTACCTTATTTATTATTATTAAAAAGGGAAAGGGCTTTTTTTTTCAGCTGGTGCGCAGGAGCGCACTTCCGTTTTCCCTTTACTAATAGGGG